TGGTACCAAATCCAGAATGTAGAGAGAGACTGTAGGATAGATAGAAATGTCAGAAACCTCTTTCCCCTACGTCGTAGGTGGTACCATCAATGCTCAACTTATGGAGAAAAATCAATGAACACAGAAGATTTCAAGTTAATTGTGAGTACATGATATTAAAATATCTCCATCACCCCTAAAAACATGTTTATCCAATTTTACATCACTCATTAATACAGAAGCATTGACAAGAGTGGACTTTTTGTTAGGGCAGATCAAAAAGGAGGACAAATGGGCCACTGAAAGAAACAGAATGTCTTTCTTATTTTAAAAAAAATCAGATATACAGAAAACATACTTAAAACCAATAATTCAGATAAAAATTATTTTCTAATGTGCCTTCCAATTTTATAGAGATTTATTTTTTTAATTTTTATTTATTTATTTATGATAGTCACAGAGAGAGAGAGAGAGAGAGAGAGGCAGAGACACAGGCAGAGGGAGAAGCAGGCTCCATGCACCGGGAGCCCGACGTGGGATTCGATCCCGGGTCTCCAGGATCACGCCCTAGGCCAAAGGCAGGCGCCAAACCGCTGCGCTACCCAGGAATCCCTATAGAGATTTATTATAGGACTCTCTTAATCAAACTAACAGATGTTGACAAAATCCAACTATTCCCTGGAACACACAAAGAGGATAATACTTGTTTTTATCTTCAGACAGATCAGGATTACTAAAAGAACATCTATGGATTTGCTTAGGAGACCAAAATGAGGGGGGGAAAAAAAAAACCTTAAAGAATGATACTTCCCAAAACAAGCATAGAAATTTTTGAAATTTGCTAGAGTTTCTTATCCTTATTTAACTTAATAAAGTCATTTTTTAAAAATTTTTATTTACTTATGATAGTCACAGAGACAGAGAGAGACAGAGAGAGACAGAGACACAGGCAGAGGGAGAAGCAGGCTCCATGCACCGGGAGCCCGACGTGGGATTCGATCCCGGGTCTCCAGGATCGTGCCCTGGGCCAAATGCAGGCGCCAAACCGCTGCGCCACCCAGGGATCCCAATAATGTCATTTTTATGTTGAATTAGATGTGGTGGTGGAGGGCGATGCCAAAATCTTTTAGTACCTAGGGTCTCTTGATGTCTTAATCTAATTTCTGTCCTCAAGAAATTAAATAATTTGAAGGGGAGGTAAAAACACAGAGATAATAAGAGAGAATACACAGCATTGTATCACCATGTGGCAAACTGTGTGCTTTTGTCTATAAACACAATCCAAAATCTATGAGACATAAGACAATAATTTTATAGAAGAGACAAGACTTCAGTGAGGCTAGTAGTACTGGGTGGGAACTTGATATTCATTCAAAAGGAGGTATGAAGTTTTATAGCCATGGAAAGTTTAAACAGCTAACCATTTCCATGATTTCTGAAGGTAATTCCTTTAAAAAGTCTTTACTTAAAGATAATGTTTTAGGAACATGTTATCAAACACCTCACTGGTTGAGGCTTCAGAGCTTAGGGTCATTAGAAACACAGGAAAGGAGCATCAGGATAGTGTTTTGGGTTTTCACTGGTACTCTTTGGAAGCTAGATGGTGGGGAGGCTCAAGGTCCCATTACAAGCTCTGAGGTCCTGGGAAAACTGTCCTTCTGGAATTCATGGACTAGAAAGGCCGACAGTTTGAATTTGCTTTAAGGACTCTTGACCTTCTAGTCCAGTGTTTAGGAAATTTGTTTTGTTTTGTTTTAAAAAAAGAAGAGAAATTGGCGTTGATGACAGAAGAAAGTTTTGTGCCCAGATGATTTAGGGAAACAAACCCCAAAATAGGCAGGTCTTAGCCTCTTCAGCAAACATTAAATTAATGCATTCTATTTCCTTCCACTCATGAGAAATCCCTGAGCCCTTCCTCTTCTTTTTACTCTCACTCCCATCCAAAAAAAAAAAAAAAGAAAAGAAAAAGAAAAAGAAAAAAAAAGTTACCACGTACTTATTAGGAATTTAAGGGAAGAAAATTAATGATGACATCTTTTTAGCTTATCTTAGGCACTGATAACTCTATTGCCTCCTATGTCTTTGGCTAGAAAGAGTTAACTGCTTTTCCACCAACATATGTTCCAACAGAACATACATGTGATTTCATAAAGCAGGCCTATGTTTGTGTTTTTTTAAGATTTTATTTATTTATTCATGAGAGACACAGAGAGAGGCAGAAAGATAGGCAGAGGGAGAAACAGGCTCCTTCTGGGGAGAAGCAGGCTCCCTCTGGGGAGCCCAATGTGGGACTTATTCCAAGACCCAGGGATCACCACCTGAGACAAAGGCAGATGCTCAACCACTGAGCCACTCAGGTCCCCTAAAGCAGGTCTATGTTTAATTGTTGAGGGAAAAATTAAGAAGGTAAAGTTACTGCTACTGGTTCTTCTGTTACAAGGATTTTTCTTTTCTTATCAAATTTCTAACAAATTTTACTCTTTTAAATGTCTAGAACCAAGGAAGTAGTATATTTCTTTTATTTTAAAAACTCAAAGTACAGTTAATAATAATGGTGTTTTGGTTACTTCTAAGAATATATTCAACTGAGAATCTATTGCTAATAGTCTACAAAGACTAAAACAAAAATTAAATGTGAAATCAAAAGGGAGGTAAGAATAAAGAATAAGAATGGGACTTTGTGAATGCTAACTGCACTGTTAACTCCGGAGCTTTCTGGAATGCAAATGAAATGCAAAATGCAGGAAGGAAGATCTGTTAGAAACAGTGAAAAGTTAACCATCCTCAGTGAGTTCTTATTTCTTTTCTTTATTGTAAAAACCAAATTACCATGTATTATTAGACCCAGTATATCTCTGCCTTGCATCACTTGCCTCAGATATTGAAAAATCCTGCATATTAATAAATCTGTGCCTCACAGTACATCGAAACACCATCACCCTACTTCCTCTTCAACAGATTGGTGAAGCAGAGAAGGTTCTAATAGTTTCATATTTTGCAGTTGAAGACATTGAAGGAGAGGGAGGGCAGGTACCTTCTAAGAGACTGACAGTCAGGGCAACTTGGAGTATAAGCGACAATCCTTGCCTATTATTTTAATATTGCTCACTAATGCTTCAAGGGGACGAATATATAAATATATATGCAGTGATATAAGACACCACTAATCTCTGCTTGATGGGAAATAAAAGGCCTTAGCCAAGGGTGTAAAAACAAAACACAGCTGAGTCATACAAGGGTGCTCCAGATAAACGGGTATTTGGGCTCAGAGAATTATGCTTGCTTGTATTTAATCACAACTGAGGAACTGGATTTTATTCATTAAAATAAAAGTTAACATCATCAATTTTTTAAAGATTTTTAAAAGATTTTTTATTTATTCAATTGAGAAAGAGAGCACGGGTAGGGAGGAGGTCCAGAGGGAAAGGGAGAAACAGATTCTCCAATGAGCAGGGAGTGTGAGCCTGGTGATCCCAGGACCCAGGGACCATGACCTGAGCTGAAGGCAGATGCTTGACTGACTGAGCCACGCAGGCTCCCCTAGCATCATCAATTTTTGCAAAGGTGAAACTCAGGCTCTAGTTGAACAGTCTTTTTTTTTTTTTTAAGATTTTTTATTTATTCATGAGAGACAGAGAGAGAGAGAGAGTCAGAGACACAGGCAGAGAGAGAAACAGGCTCCATGCAGGAAGCCTGACGAGGGACTCAATCCGGGGTCCCTAGATCACATCCTGGGCCAAAGGTGGCGCTAAACCGCTGAGCCACCCGGGCTGCCCGAACAGTCAGGCTTAACGGTTGACAAACTTTAGGATGCATTAGAGCAAACTAAGGAACTCATTCAGTACAGTTACTGGGGCCCACTCCCTGACATGTAGCAGAATGGGGCTAATTGGAATTTATAACATGCACTTCAGGGGATTCCAGTGCAAGTAATTCAAGGACCAAACTTTGATAATACTCCCAACTCTCCTACTATTTTCTGGAGCTGATGGCTCATTTCTGGTACAAATCCAGCTTCATCAGAACCACTTAGATTTTTCTGGCATAACCATTATAGCTGGATGTCTTATTTGAGAAATCATATATAATTTGAGGCATATCTCACTGTCAATCTCTTAGAAGGTACCTGCCCTCCCTCTCCTTCAATGTCTTCAACTGCAATGCCTAGAGGCCTATCTGTGTCATCTTCTTGATACATAATTTTTAGGCAAGATGTTTTTACATCTTTACAGCCATGTGTAATTCAGATATTTATGAATCAATTGATGTGAAACATACAAGAGACTTGGTGTATTAAAGAATTTTATACATATTTATAAGATAAAAATCATTCCCTAATGTATCTTTTTTCACAAATCTGAATTTAAATTTCATTTGTCTTAAAGTAACATGTACATTTGTCTTAAAGTAACATGTACTTAAAGGTTAATACTCTTTTTTTCTAGCATAGTACAACTGATTGTCACTCTGTTAAAGTAAACTCTTGAGGATTTAAGAGTTAGATGTGGGGGTTAGCCTATTTTGACACAATCTTAGATTGTTCAAGGTGGGTCATCTTTTTAGCTTATCTTCCTATGTCTTTGGCTAGAAAGAGTTAACTGCTTTTCCACCAACATAAATTGGCAAAGTCTTTTCTAAAAAAAAAAAAATTATGTTCAGTCTGTGAAGTGTGTTTTCCCCTCATTTAATCAAAAACAGAGGTAACTGCCCTTCCCCAGATCTCCCAGAGAACAATGACTCTCCATTCATATTTGTAGTCATGGGACCTGACCCGTTTTCATACAGAGTATCCCTGGAAGGGATGTTGAACAGTAAAGTCCTTCTATCTTCACTTGCCAGTTCATTTGGCCACTTCCCCTGAGAAAAAATACCTCAGAGCAAAGCCATTCATTTTCAAAGGCAACATCACACAATAAGTGATGTTTTATTTTATCCATCCTGTTACTATTCTAGTCCATTTATTCTCCTTCAGAATTTATGAGCCCTTTTAAAATCAAAATGACTTTCCCCCATATTTCTAGATGCCCCACAACCTCTTTTATGAGCTCCGTTGAGCAGGAAGTGGAAGGAGCACTGAGCAGATATGGAGAGACACAGATTCCAGTCCTGTCACCACTACAACAAGGCAGGCTGTCTCCTTTCTGGGAGGTGAGTCAGAAGTCATGATTTTCCTCCTCTCTGAGCTATAATTCAATGTTTCTCTTTTTTATTTTGTGTAATTCTGATGCTAAAGTAGTTGGCAACCTAGCCTTGTTTTCAAGTAAGATGCCCATCAGTGGAAATTAGTGGAGATGCTGTCTCTCCAAGGTACACATAGGTCATCTGGTCCCATGTCATCTGTTGCGAGCATGCCACACACAGAATGTGTGCTCATTTGTGCATGTGGCCCCTCAGGTGGTGTGTGGGCAGCTGATACTCTGGGAGGCAAATTAGATTATAATACAGAAGGATTAACCAAATTATAAATATTAAAACCAAATTTTAATAGTAAATTATTAAAGTTATTTTTTAGAGTAAATTATTAAAACCATAATTTTTTAATTATGTCAGGACCATACTTACATTTGATGACATGTATTACTAAAACAATCGTTCTTTAGTTTTCAGCAAGGAGCACGAAACACCACTAATTTGGAGTTTTCTAGTGAAGAATGTATAATGACTTGGTTTAGGCAGAGGTGAAGATATACCAGGCAAAGCATTTTAAACAGAAAAGAATGCATGGACCCTACTACATGAATTGCTTTTATATAAATGGATGTTAATTACAGTTTTTATCTATTGAGTCAAGAATGGCAGGGCCTACTAGAAAATATCTTGTTGAAAGTTATTATGTGCAAAAAAGTAATACAAACTAAATTTTATAATAATAACAATGGCTAAGATTAAGCTCTTACTATTTGCAAGGCACTATTTTAAGGATTTCCGGATATATATATGGTTAGATCCTCTTGTTGACATGAGGAGGTAATATATTATCATCTTCATTTATATCCAAGAAACAGAGATGTTAAGAACTTTTCCAAGGACACACAACTAACTATTCAAGCTAGAACTGGAAAATACACAGCCTGACTCTAGAGCCCTGATCACTATATTACACTGCCTTAAGAGAACAAATTAAGCATTTAAACAGAATGGGCTTTATTAGTCTAAAGTAGTGAGATTTCATCATTTGCTCTCATATCTCAGAGTATTTCAGTACAATATGAGAAGGTGTCAAGTTTTGTCACCAGTAAAACAAGTAACTATAGCAAGAAAAAAATGTACAGAAAAAAATTCCTCCATTTTTTCATACATTTTTTTAAGCTTTTGGTATCTATGACAGCTTTTCTATACGTCAGACCTGACAGATCACAAAAAAATGTACCAAGCACTATACTGAACATTGAGGACACGGTAACAAAATTCGTGCTGAGTATGGAGAGATAGATGATGACCAAATAAATAATACATCTTGTGTCTAATGGAGAGAAGTACATGGATAGGAAAAAGCAGATTCAGGTGCTAGGTATTTGAGGTAGTGTTTACTATTTTATGGGGTATGCTCAAGGGAAGCCTCTGGTTACGTGCTTTCTGAGCAGAGACCTAAAGGAAGTAAGGGAATATATATGATGGGGCTATCAGGGAAAGGGTTCCAGACAGGAGGAAGAGCATGTGCAAAGCTCTGAGGGCAGCAAAAGGCTTGAGGGTGTGGGAAACAGTAAGGATCCTATTGGGGTAGAGAAGGGCAGAAGAGGAAGTTGGAGAGACAGTGGGCTCTAGGTTACTGGTAGGGGCTCCCGAGTCTGGCTCTTTTGTTGAGAGAGATGGAAAGCCATTCAAGTATACTAAAGAACCGTGACAAGACCTGCTTTACATTTTAAAGGCATTGCCCTCACTGTCATGTAGAGAATAGATAGAAAATGGGGGTAAGATGAAAGCAAAGAAGATAATTAGGAGGTTATTAAAATAAGCCATCTGAGAGTAGACTGGGGCTTACACCAGGGTGAAAGCTTTGAAGATGCTGAGAAGGGATTGTATTGGGGATATACTCTGACAGGAGAAATAAGAGAATAGTTGGTTGATTGAATATGGTTTATGAGAAAGAGAGAAGAACCAGGATGACTCAAAATTTTTGGTCAGAGCAACTGCAGTAACAAGGTTGGCACTTATTCATTAAGATGAGGAAGAGGAGAGAGTGGTGGGTTGTATTTTGGTGAGGCTGTTGCCAAAAAAAAAAAAAAACCTATAGGAAAATATAACACTTGAACAGAGTCTCGAATAGATATCAAGTTAGGGAAGATCCTCCAGGGGGCATGAACAAGGATGACTCTTATTTTCATCAGAATAGACAGCATGAGCCAAGACAAAGGCAGACAAGAAAGTAAGAATGTTGTGAGAACCACAAGTGGTCTGTTTGGACTGAAACAGAGAGCATAAGATTGGCCCAAATAATGAAGAACCTTCCACATGTGCACTTTATTCTGCAGGTACTTTGCCACACGTGCAGAATCAGGAACCACAGTCTTAAGCACATAGCCTTAAAGTTCTTCTCATGTGAAGTCAGCCTTCTTCCATAACCCCATATAGAACTCATTTTCTAATCCTATAGAGCTGCCCTAATCCCATATAAGTCTCCTTCTCTGTGCTATAAAATGTCTCTGTCTGTCCCTATAATTTTGTAAAATCTTACAGAAACTTCTGATGTCGGGCATCCCTGTGTCCACCATTTTATACCTATTATCTTATGCCTCCTGGGTGTCCTCAGAGACACTAACATAAAGGGCCAGGCTAGTGAAGAGTGTGGATAAAGCTGAACACAACTTGCCTTGAGATATAGCATGTTGGGTACTGGTGAGAAGACAGGGCAGAAATGGCGTCTCCTCACTGTAGCTTCTTTTTTTTTTTTTTTTAAAGATTTTATTTATTCATGAGAGAGAGAGAGGGAGAGAGAGAGAGAGAGAGAGAGAGGCAGACATACAGGCAGAGGGAGAAGCAGGCTCCATTCAGGGAGCCTGACGTGGGACTCGATCCCGGGACTCCAGGATCATGCCCTGGGCCTAAGGCAGGCACTAAACCTCTGAGCCACCCAGGGATCCCCTCACTGTAGCTTCTTGAAAGAGAATAAAAACAAATGACAAAAAAAAAAAAAAATGACAACAATGAAACATGGTTAATCCTGATGGTAAACATGTACATGACTTAAAAAACCCCAAGATGGACAAAAGCAAAAGCACACTTAACCATATATATATATATCCATGAAATCCTTAAAATAGTGCCTTGCAAATAGTAAGAGCTTAATCTTAACCATTGTTATTATTATAAAATTTAGTTTGTATTACTTTTTTGCACATAATAACTTTCAACAAGATATTTTCTAGTAGGCCCTGCCATTCTTAAGCATACTTAAACATGAAGAGAAAAAATTCTGCTCTTTTTCTTTCAGCAGGTTTTCATCCAGACAACCTGGAGAACACATGGTTACAGACATGTCTTTGGATCATCAGTGTCATTTTACTTATAGATGGCCTTCAGGTTCTCCCTGCTTGCTGTCCTAGATATTTGTTTCACCATGACCAAAGTCCTTGGACCACTGAGTAAGTTTGTTGAGTAAAGGGCATGAGGTATTTGAATCTGGGCCTGGTCAGGATTTCAGGTTTCTAGACAATTCAATTAATGCCTTTGTCTTAATACTCATTAAAAAATTGAATAAAAATAATTGCTTTACCTACTTTATAGAAAGAATGAGGAGTATATACCAGAACATGTAAGTTATATGTTTCATAACACAGAGTTTGTGAGTTATTTTTCTTATGTCTAATCTTTCTAAGCAGTTTATAAACTCATAATGAGTAGGACCCAATCTTTTCACTCCAGTGGTTCCCATGTCAGTTGCTCATTAGTCCTGTTTGGGAAGCTTTTGAAAGATATACATTCTTAGCACCTGACCCATCCCAGATATCCTGACTCTGGGATATGGGCTCGCGCATAAGAGGTACCATCTGATTCGGGCAAGGCCAGATTGGGGAACTATCTGTACATAGTAATGGAAATTCTCCACCTCCAGCAATGCCCAGTATCAGGACACAGTAGGAACTTCTATTTGATAATGGACAAATATCAAATAAATTAAAATAAAATGTCTCTGCAAGAGGTAAGGTTTTGAAAATGTCACACTCATTTATAAATAACAATGTGATATGTTGATTAGAACAGGTGTTAATAGAAGAATGAGTCTAAGAGGCCAATTTTGAAGCTAAAACTGATCATCTGGTCTTGAATCCTGACTTCACTAAGAAGGAAAAATGCAAAAGAAATAAAGAATATCGAAATGTAACCTCAGATTGAGCCTGCCATCATGGTGTTCTTCCCATTCCTCTGTTTCTCTCTAGGTATACAACACACACACAGACACACACAGAGGACTGAATTAGTACCACTTTTCTAGATTCCCAAGGAAATTAGCTCATCAGATTCAAATGATTAATCATTTGAGCAGTTGCTATGTTTGAAGGCTCATTTTATGTAGATAAACAAGTCTCTGGAATCTTGCTCTTGGAAGACAGAAATAAGACAAATACAGCTATCACTGTAATACAAATAAATGAAGGTAACACCACTAGTTAAGATAGGCCTATGACCTGTCTCTGTGTGTGTCACTTGTGACCATCCTCTCATGTGGTCAGAATCAGAAGCCAGAGGGGTTAAGCTAATTAGTCAATTTAAGCATCAGAGTTAGAATGGATTAAAAGTAGATGGGCAGCCTGGGTGGCTCAGTGGCTTAGCGCTGCCTTTGGCCCAGGGTGTGATCCTGGAGACCTGGGATTGAGTCCCATGTCAGGCTCCCTGCATGGAGCCTGCTTCTCCCTCTGCCTGTCTCTGCCTCTCCCCCACCCTCTGTCTCATGATGAATAAATAAAATCTTAAAAAAAAAAAAAAAGTAGAGCATGGTTTTCAAACCAAAATACAAGTATATCAAAAGAAATTGTTCAGGATCAGTATATGAATGACAAATGTTCTCCAAGGGGTTCCTTCTTTTTTTAAGATTTTATTTATTAATTCATGAGAGAGAAACACAGAGAGAGAGAGAGAGAGAGAGAGAGAGAGAGAGAGAGGCAGAGACACAGGCAGAGAGAGAAGCAGGCTCCATGCAGGGAGCCCAATGTGGGACTTGATCCTGGGACCCCAGGATCATGACCTGAGCCAAAAGTATATGCTCAACCACTGAGGCAGTCAGGTGCCCCCAGGGGTTCCTTCGCATGAAGAGGCCCTTCGGGACTTCACCAGATTAACCAAGGAGACTAACAGGTATGAGTGTGTGCTATAAGCATATGCAATGAGCTGAGAGGAGAAAAAAGTCCAGCAGAGAGACCTAAAAAGGCCTTCATGGAGGAATTCATATTTGGAACACACTTCAAAAAATGGGGAAAACATTTCACACGCAGAGATGGGAGGAGGGCGGTAGTGGTGGTGGTGCCAGTGGCAGCTTGAGCTTTACATGGGAGAAAACCCACCCTGCCGGAGTACAGCAGTCCGGGAGTTACTCAGTACCCTCGAGTGTGACCCCCCCAACTGGCAGTTCATGGCCCTTCCCAAGAACTAAAATGGAGCCTTCTCTGCTCTGACTGCAGCTAACTCCGAGCACCAGGTACGACCCTCCTGATGCTGCTGCCTGAGCCGGCAGTAGCTCTGCCCTGGGAGGAGGTGGCAATTACTCTTTCTGTCAAGTTTGGAATCTCTGAAGAATAGTTCCCAGATCCGGAACTTCAGATGACACATGGCTAAGGCGAAGGCATATTGTTTCAAGAAGAGTTTGGCATATGGCCAGTACCCATTTCTACCTACTCTGAGAAGAGGGATGGGCAGAAAGGAAAGGACAGAAGGAGAAGAAAGGAGGACCACACATAGTTTCAAAAGTTTTACATAGATGGATTTTGCGAGCAAAACTGGTGGAGATAGGAGAGGCTGGCCTTAGGATGTGTATTAAAGGTTGGTGTAGTAATAAAAATATCGATTAATTACTCGAGTGCTTCCCATGTGCACTGGATTCACTCTCTCTTTAAAAACTTACCACGACCTATACTCTCATCTCCACCTCGTACACGAGGACACAGACTTGTGAAAGTACATAACTTGCATGGGCTCATAAAGCTTGTAAATGGCTGAACCTAAAAGGATGGAACCTCAGTTATGGAGAGAGAGAGAGATGATGAACTACAGATATCCAGGCTCCAGGCTCCTAACCCCACATTGTAATGGGATTAACCACCCAGGTTCAGCAATGGGAAGCTACTTGGTCACAGTTATTTCAATTTGCCTCACGTAGACAGGTTTTCTCATTCTTCCTCATCGTTAATAGTTCCAAACTGATACATACTTCATTAGCACCTCCTTTTCAATAAGAAAACCGCTAATGCTTATCCAGCGTCTCTTTCCTTTTAACCACAAGTTAAAAATGTGTTTATCTTTATGACTCCAGAAGGACTCAGTCCCAGGGCCTATCTCCATCTTGTTACTACCAAGTCTCCTATTATTTATTTATTTCCCATATCATTGATGTGCAGTGTTATATTAGTTGCAAGAATACCGTCAGTTCTCATTTTTCAACCTCTTGCTGCAGTATATAAATAAATATTGGTCCACTTTGCATCTCTGCACCTTCATTTCTGGCTCCGTTGCCCATATGTTCCTAGGAAGAAAAGTCCTAGAAACAAAATAAGTTGCACACTGCTCCTGGTGTGATGCTAAAACTGTCACTGGCAGGGGAAGCCGGGATCTGTTTGGAGCATGAGTAACTGGTAATAAAGGCAAACTCTGTCTCTAGCTGTCTTTCCAAGATGCCCAGATGATGGGTGGTTTCTATTTAAGCTTTAAATATACAACACCTATTTTATTTACTTTGAAGTTGATCTGAATCTAACCATGGATAGAAAGTAAAGCCCTTGATGTGATTTTACCATGGAGTACATATACACTGAACATGAATAATTCCATTTATACAGTGTTAGAAACAAAGAGACACTGGCCCTCTCTTCTATTTTTAATTGTTGACAACTGAGGCCCAAAGGGCTGGCATGATGTGCATAATGACCCACTGAGCCATGTGCAAGATGTCAACACACATGGGTTTGATAGAATGAACATTTACTAAATTTGTGCTATGGCTATGTGGAACCAGTTTTAAGGCTTTTGACTATTATTTTTAAGTGGCTCTATTCTAAAACAACAGCAAGTAGAAAAAAATTGGGGTGGTCTACAAATAAGTGTAAAGCCAACTCAAATATAAGAATGAGAAAGTTGGCCAAATGGAATAGGGTGTTTTATTTTTTTATTGTTTTTAAAATAGGCTTTATGTTATGTTATTTTATTTTTTTAAGTAGGCTCCATGCCCAATGTGGGGCTTGAACTCATGACCCTGAGATCAAGAGCCATTATTCTTTACCAAATGAACCAGCCAGGCAACTGAAACAGGACATTTTAAATGCACATTTTGGGCTTGAAGGGGTTTAGAATATGCCACACCAAAATATTATCTTTGGTGTATTGATTATTTTGAGCTGAAGGCATCTGAGAAACAGTAGATGCAGAAAGGAGTCTCTGAACTCTCCCTTTCTGCCTAAAGGCTAGTCACAAAATTTCACATGAGAGAGGCATCTGGGTGGCTCAGTGGTTGAGCCTCTTGCCTTTGGCTCAGGTCATGATCCTGGGGTCCTGGGATCGAGTCTCACGTCCCCTCTAGGGAGCCTGATTCTCCCTCTGCCTCTGTCTTTGCCTCTCTCTGTATCTCTCATGAATAAATTAGTAGTCTTTTTTAAAAAAAATTCCCATGAGAAAGGTGCCCTCCCTGTACTAGGAAGAAAAGAATGTTCTTATCACCAGGGAATGAAAGTCAATGCCGAAATGGACCTGTGCAAACAAACCTACTCAGATAACCCTGATCTTCCATTAGTTTCCCCCATATGTTTCCTAATCACTGCCCCATAATTTACTGCCCCAGGTCAAGCTGCTTTGTCTTGTCACATGCCCACAATTTATTCAGCTTTTTGTGTAAAAAGACATATAAGCTTTTGGGCCTAACAGCTTCTTCAGGTCTTCATTTTCCCTCTGAAGACGTCTTGTGTACATGTAAAAAAAAATATTAAATAAATTTGCTTGCTGTTTTCTGACTAATATGTCTGATGTCAGTTTAGTTCTTAGGCCTGCCACAGAATCTAGGGGGTAGAAGCTCTCCTGAGAGCTTTTCCTGTATCCTTGCATAATATAACTCTATCTCTTTACACACCCTCCTTTGTCCATGAGATTCATTCTTCTACTCCATGAGACAAGAACCTAACTGTCTCATTTCAACACCAATTTATATTAGGTGATGGGTAAAAAGTGGCAAACAAGTGGAGACAGGCACAAATAAATTGAGGAGGAAGGAGAAAGGAGATAGGATGCATAGGACTGAGAAGGGTGGGGAAACCACAGCAGAGACTGGATAGCCATTTGCCAAACCAGTTTCCTCTTCTTCCTGGACATATAACTATGGTACATTTCCAAGAGTCTCTTGCAATTAGGTGTGCCATTTGACACAATGGAACTTGAGTGGGTGATACTGGGCACTCACAAGCTGGCAGAGCAAAAAAATCAATGTACCTTTTTCCACTCACTTTCCCCATTGCCAGCTGAATGAAGAGGACTGGGAGGCCTACCAACGGGCAGAGACAGAAGATGGAAAGAACCTGGATCTCTGAGGGAATGCATAGGAGGTTCCTTGCCTGCTAGGAATACCTGCCATGGACTGTTATATTATGTAAATGAG